GTGACACGACAGTCTACTCTAATCCGATTGTCCCAAATCTCCATTGAGTTAAAGAAGAAGACTTGATATGAAGTAGAACATGTTTTCTACAAGCATCTAGAAAGTACGAGGTCCGAGTCCAGAGGAGAATCAGGATCGCGGACTAGGGATTTAGGGTCCGGGTCATAAAATGTTACAGATAATACGTATTTATACAGTTAGGCTGGATAGGAAACAACATTGAAGTCTGTGGTACTGATAGCTAAGACGGACATAATATGGACCAGTAGGAATTGACCAATAGAATTAGACTTACAAAAATAATTCTCTTAGGATATTTGATGAATATCCTAACATAATCAAACAATATTTCTGTTTAACTTATGTTGATCATCATAGACTGTGAGAAAGGAATGAAGTAGGTGAATGATTCACAAATGTACCTGTTTTAAACAAACTGGTTCTAGGCGGCACAATATTCCCACACAAACACGTACTCAAAACTACATGAATTTCATCCGATCACACTACACAGAACCCAATCGAACATATTTGCATCAATGAAAAGTTCAGAAGGACGATGAAGGACATGAGAACAAAGAGAGGAGCTGACATGGTTTCAGATCATCACTTGGTAGTGGCCAAGATGAAAATTAAACGCGAGAAGTACTTGACAGTCGGGTGGACAATATCACAGGATACTGACAAACTCTATTAATTCAGGATAGCGCTCAGAAATAGGTTACAAGCCATTCTCGATCTACTCAATGGAGAGAAACGAGAGAGACAACAATTGGAAAGCAAACAAGCAAGTGAAGAGGAGTATCAAATGTGACTAGTTTAACGATGCGGAAGATCTAGTTGTGATAGCAGAAAAGGCTGAAAGGGAAAGAAACTCGAGACAATTATACAACACAACGAAGAAGCCCGCTAGAAACTATCGTACACCAGAATGACCAGTGAAAAGCAAAGAAGGCAAAGTAATCAGCAATATTGAAGAACAGCGAAACAGGTGGGTAGAGCACTTTAAGGAACTCTTGAACTGACCAGCCCCACTGAACCCCACCCAACATCGAAGCATCACTCATGAACCGCCCCGTCAATGTAGGCCTACCAACAGTTGAAGTAATCAGCATGACCATCAGACAAATCAAGAGCGGCGAAGCAGAGGGACCAGATAACATTCCAGCAGAGACAATGAAAGCAGACGTAACAGTAACTACAATGATACTCTACATTCTGTTCAGCAGGATTTGGGATGAAGAACAATTATCAACAGACTGGAAAGAAGGTTCGATTTTATTCACAAAATCGTCATACATTTTTCAGTTCACTGATTCACTTAGTCGTAAGTAAGAAAATCTATGCGTAACAAATTGTCTATAACCTTAATTTTCATATTACACAGAAAAAATAGTCGTTGAAATTTTAAAAGTTCATATCACAACAAAGTTTTAAATAGTTTTGTGTTCTCATTCACATCGGATGTTTTATCGTTTCATTTCTTATCATTTTCATACTGCATTTCACACTGACGCCCACTACAAGATAAACTTGCTGACTGACTGACTGATTGACTGACTAACTGACTAGTAGCCATTTTATACTTCTACTCATTTATTCATTCAAACAATTTATATGTCCGATCAATAGAGATTCACACAACAATTATTAAATAGGTCAACAACAATAAAATTGTGGATTCCATTTTCATGTTATTTGGCTTGGATTATCAAGGTCCATTTGTGTAATTTTGCGATATAATTTGATGTTTGCTAGTGGATTTGATCTTTTTGTAAAGCCAAATTTCATTTTCTTCATATAAATATGATGAGTTATTTGACCTCAGTACTTCAATAAAAGAATAATCATTTATTTTGAGACGGTTTACATCACACAAAAACTAACTTTGATTATACGATTATGATAAATGTAGAGTAGTAGTGAAATACTGATTCGTTTTAGTCTGCTAAAAGGAAACACATTAAAATTGATAAGCTAATCAAGGATCAGTCATAGGATCTCTAGGATTGACGATGAATGCGTTACTCTAATTTCTGGTGACTTTCAGAGATGTTTTAAAAACATTTGATATATAGATAGGAAAGTGCTATTGTTGTATATGAAGAAGTCTGCAGCATATAAAATATATACATATTTCTAAGAAAGACGCGGCTTGTTAATGAAATATGTACAAATAGTGTCCATCTTATGATATTCATCCGATACCCTAAGATAATTTTTTGTAGGTCTAATTCTATTAGTCAATTACTATTGGTTGTCCTAACTGTCAAGGTCACGTTCTTCAATGTTGTTTCCTATCCAGCCTAACTGTATAAACACGCATTATCTGTAACGTTTTATGACCCGGGATCCTAATTCTCTTGTGAAATCGAACCTCGTACTTTCTAGATGCTTGTAGAAAACATGTTCTACTTCATATCAAGTCTTCTCCTTTTACTCAATGAGGATTTAGGACAATCGGATTAGAGTAGCATGTGGTGTCGTCGGATCCTCGATCCTCGCTCTCGTTTTCCGACTAAGGTAAACTCATAATAGTTCAAACATCTCAAATGACATGTTTACGTGCATGCGTAACAGATCATGAATTGTCTAAAGAGATATTTTAACCTCGGAACGGTATAAATTGAAAATTCTAGTCTGTAAACTATAGTTTTACAAATATAGGCTGTTCAAATCTATTTAATAGAAGCAATGAGACGCATATCTAAATCAATTCAATATGATGTCATACTGATTACTTGAAACTTAACTAGTAATTCCTTTTGTAAAGAAAATAAGGTTGTTCAGCGATTTTGCTGTTTCATATTTCATGTTTTTCTCAGAACTATTTTGTATTTTAAAATACTCAAAGAAATTCGACAAAGTTGAATTTACATTTGGCTTGTTCCCACTTTTCTTTCCTTGTAAAACAGAGCTTTTACAACGGCACCGTAAAAAAATGATCACAAGTCTAGGACAACGTATCTATCAGCTGACTATCAACCTTTTCATTGAATTGTCAACGAATGGAACTTTAACTACTTCAACATGTGATTGAAGTTCCATCAGTCAACACATTCGATAAAAAGTTGAATTAAATGAGATACGAACATTGCTAAGATTAAACATACGCTATTCAGACTTCTGTCTTTTCCAAAATGAAAACGAAAGTTAACTTTGATGGTTAGAATAGTATATTGATAATTATTTTGAAAAGAAACTTTTAAATGAATTGAAAAGCTTTGATCATTAAAGGAATTTGTGTTTGGATTTACTAGTGAATTTTCCATCATAGAGTTATGGAGATAGCTAAACCATCATTAGAAGAATCCTGGGAGCACTGGATGGTAGTTTCGTTCTAGTATGGGACTCTTCAGCGATAGTGCTGCCCTCACTACTCCTGATACTAGCAAGACTCGAACCCAGGGTCTAGCGCCAGCGAACGTTTAACCTCTGGGCCACTGGGTCGAGATTCAACGGTGTTAGTGTCTAACTCTGACTAATCTAGGGATTTCGTGCAACCTCATCCGTTTTGTTCGTCAGGATTGAACTCCACGTGCCACATCTCCTCACGAAGCTGGTATGTGCGTGAATAAAATTCCTCGTTATTATAAGCATGAGTGATTTCCTATATTAATGCCAGATCCCTATGTTACATGTATAGAAGTCAAGAAAACACAGTTTATTTACAAAATATGTACTCATAGTCTTGAATAGCTCTTATTATATCAATGCTAGTCCTCAATATACTTTGATTATGATATGCATTTTGACCCTGCAAACGCTGCTATCTCTCTCTCTATACCTCTGGTAATACCTGCTAAGTGACGCTTCACTATGCAATACTTATACGCCACTTTGTAAGTAGTATTCATTGCAACTAGACAAATGATTAATAGATTATTAAGTAAGATTGTAACTGCAGAATCCATAATCCAGAAAATACAAGTGTTCATTCACAGTAGTCTACCCAAAATACTTGAGATCCGTAAATTATACACTATCAGCAACAACCTTCAGTAGGAAAGAACACACCAGCTTCCTCCAGCTAAGGAGGAAATCCAGAAAGAGTTCTGGAAGTGGATAGGACATACATTGAGGAAAGCACCTGATTTAGAATCCTCAGGGCCAAATAGCAAGAGGAAGAGCAGGGAACATATTACTTCGAGAATCGGAAACAGACATGAAAACAATGAAAACCAACTTGACAGAACGAGAAAGGATGATCAAGGAGAGAGTAGGTTGGAGAATGCTTTTTGGCGACTTATCTTCGATGAGGGGTAACAGGCGTAGGTAAATAAGTAAATAATTGTTTCATAATTAGCGGAGGTAGGGAAAGTGGCTAACAGTGGAATCCAGCACATGCCTTTCTTCTAATTTGAGACTCGCTTCTGCTTAGATAAACTTACATCTCAGAGTGATTATTCCATCCGAGACCCGAACCCAGCACTATTCGCTTCGAGCACCATCACCTTCTCCATTTAGCTACTAAGTTCAAATAACCAGTCGCTTATACAATGAACTATTTCACACATTTCAACAATTAACGAATATATTATAGCGAAGATTTATACTACTTATGTGGTGCGAGCTACTTATAAGTAGTATATGACGTGAGTGTCAACGTAATGTCTGGCAGCAGAAGATGGGAGAAGATCAAGAAAGGAGGAAGAGTTAGAAAACAATGGAATTTGTATGAAACGCATGAATAGTAGTGACAATGGATTGATGTTTTGCAACAGGAACAGTCCAGCTTGATATGATGAACTGATATTTTGTAAATTAACGATTTACGATATGGTTTTCCGATTTTACTGAGTAACTCTGCCCCACCTATCCAATCTATACTATTTAATCATAAAAATTTATTCAGATGTAACCATTTGTAATTTTCTATTTTTTTTTAAAAAAAAACAATTCAATTATCTTTTAATAAAATAATTTATTAACATAAATAATATTTAAATAATAAATAAAATAATAATAATAAAAAATTAAATACAATAAACTATTTTTTTCTGCAATAAAATATAAAAAAGCTTCATTATGGCCAATATTTACAGATGACAAAGTACCATCCGATTGTTTCAATAAGAATTGTTGACATCGGACGACGACGACACCACCGTCAATCTAATGATCCACTGGTGGTACAATAGATACTGGAATATTTGAATGATGCAAAACATATGAAGTAACACTTGTGGTGAAATTCAATCGCCAAAATCCTAAACCACGTTTTGACATAACTGCTGCATCAATTTTTCTATCTTGTATTGTTTTAACTAATGCTGGACCAGGTTTTGTATCAATTTGAATTAGCGCCTCAGATTTAATACCATATTTTGTAGCTTCATGTACCATTTCATGACATAGATATTTTGCACTACGCATACTTTCTTCTGGTACATGAAATGATGAACCAGCTGGCATTGATTCACATTCATACGATAAAGCAGATAATGCTGACGGTAAGATTGGATCAACCACATGAACAAAGATCACTAGATCACCATCACGTTTCATATTTTCTTTATACCATGTTAATGCTCTTTTTGATTCAGCACTACCATCGATTGGAATCAAAACTTTGCGTATTATTTTAATATTCTTCGGTGAATTGGATCCAGTCATTTGATTTCTATTTGAATCGATTAAATGATTTGTTTTCCCTTTCAAATCTTCTATATTTGTTACTACTATTGTGTGCTAATGTTGTTTATATACTGAAAAATTTCAACACTGATTGGTGAAAGAACAAATCGTGAAGAGTTGTGTTATATTTAGTGTTGGTCATTGCTTTTGTTTTCTTCATCAAGGTCAAACAATATTCAATATGTTGTGGTTTAAAAAAAATTGAATGATGATTGGCGCAAAAATTAAATATTTAAAAGTTATTTATTTATGGTTTTAAATTTTCAATTGGTTGAAATTGTCTAAAACATGTATGATACTTTTGTATCAGGAATTGACCAACAATCTTTTCATCTTGAACCTTGAATAATAATAATAATAATAATAATAATAAACGTACTATTTTGTTGGCGTATTTTTTAAAATTATAGTCTAGTAAGTTTTTGTATGAAATGTCAATCATTTTAAAATTAAGTCACATCAAATACAATTACCTGAGTAAACTGTTCACTATTTTCATCTAGTAATAATATTTAAATGTATATCAAAAATTTTTGTTTAAATTAAACAACAGAATTAAAGGTTTTTTCTGTTCATTTTTTGTTTGTTTAAACAAAATAGTTCAGTTGATGAGTTTAAATAAAGTAGAGTAATTTTTGAACAATTTTTTTGCAGAAAATATGAATACGTAACACCAATTTTAAAGTAATGTTATCTCAGGCATAATTGACTTCATTACCAGTTCATCAGTACCTTAGGGAACTTTAAAAAGTTCTTTATGAAGTGAATCATTATGGTACATAATTGACAATGCTTTGGCTTGATGATATTACATTGCTAGGTGGAGTCCGCAAGAAAACAGAAACCGTTGTTTAAAGATTTTGAATGACATGGCGCAGATACATCTATTCTTAGTGTTCTCTCAAATTCTAATCTTCTGAATTCCTCATCATCTTTATCTTCCTCTGTTTTTAAATTTATTATACTGGCTAATATTTCTTGAATAATAACTTCGAACCCTAATCTTCTGCATTACCGCTAATACTTCTACTATTGTATTGAAGGAGAACACAGGTGAGGGCAACCGAATTGTATTTATCTCAAATTACAGAGTTAATTGGTAAAATAGGAAAACCATATCGTAAATCGTTAATTTGCAAAATATCAATCCATCATATCACGAACTGGACTGTTCCTGTTGCAAAACATCAATCCATTGTCTGACATTTCACTGTTCATGCGTTTCATACAAATTCCATTGTGTTCCAGCTGTTCCTTTCTTGATCTTCCCCCATCTTCTGCTGCTAGACATTACGTTGACACTCATGTCATATCCTACTTATAAGTAGCGCGCACCACACTATCTCTACCACTAATGAATTTTAAATGACAGTTGTGTCTCTCTTTGCTAATTCAGTATGACAACCTGAACTGATGTGTACGTACGTACGTACAAAGTTCTATGTTGTAGCTGACTGACTGATTGTAAGTACTGATCGTTAAATTAAATAAAAATCTTTATTTAAAAAAAGCGCTAAAGAAACTTATCAAACTTCTATCAAGTATAATGAGAAAACCTCATCTGATTACATCATAATTCAGATTGAAATAGTTGAACGATTTCATCAGAACTCAATAAATAACTATGGATTTTTAATCAGATTAAATAAAACTCATCTAGTTTTTAAACAATGAGTGAAAATTTAACCGCAGTTAAGAGTAGTTCACACGTACAAAACATAGTTATTCTTCTTTTTTCAAATAAACTAGTATGAATCATCTCAAAATACAAATGATAGTCTTTGCATTCTAAATGAACGTTATATTGTGGTGCGCGCTACTTATAAGTAGTATATGACGTGAGTGAAAACATAATGTCTGGCAGTAGAAGATGGGGGAAGATCAAGAAAGGAAGAGTGGGAACACAATGGAATTTGTATGAAACGCATGAATAAGTGAAATGTCAGACAATGGATTGATGATGGATTGAAGATTTACAAATTAACGATTTACGATATGGTTTTCCTATTTTACTGAGTAACTCTGTAATTTGCAATAAATACAATTCGGTTGCCCTGTATATACACATGAATTTACAACCATCGTAAACCTGTTTTAGTAGTGCTATTGTGAATAACATATATGATTATTGATTTAATAAAACTGTGAGATGCAGAAGTCGTGAATGCGTACTGCCATTGATGAATCCCATACTATAGGACAAAATGGCCGTCCAGTGCTTCCAGGTTTATTCTAATTGTGGTCTAACAATGATTGATTGATGATTTCACATGTGTAATCAACTTCATTTAACATCTCAAACAGTCAGTAGAATAGATGAGATCAAATCCACTAACTTCAAATACAGTGGGTCTGATATTACACTACTTATTCTGAAACTGTTAATTCGCCCTCTCTTCCTTTCTCTCTATCTCACTGGAAACAAGAACTTATCATTACAGTCGGAGAGCTTTATACATCAGATCTAAGTAAAAATCTGAACTGACATGAACAATTACGAGTTCATAAATAATTAATTCAGTCATCGGTAGGATTGTTGATTATAAAATTTTTCAACAAGCTACTTATTGAGGAACTTATCATCGATTTCTGACATGACTTCCTTAAAAAGACTAGATCATGTATGACCTGTGACTACTTTGACGTATTCAGTTTAGTCTTAAATTTTAGTGTTATACTTTAATATGGCTAATCACTATCTTATTTAAGCAAAAATTTAAATCTTACGGAATTAAAAATCCTCTACTCGATTGGTTAAATTCCGTTCTCGGTTAAAATAAATTGCTCCTTGTCAAATGATGCCTCATCCATTAATCAGTCATTCAGTCACAACATCGAACTTTGTACGTCCGTACGTACTTACTTCATTTCAAGTTGCCATACCACATTAGCACATAAAGATCGAATTGTCAATTCAAATTCCATACTGGTAGAGATAGTAGAAGTATTGTCGGTGGTAGAAAAGATTACAAATCGAAGATATCATTCGAGAAGTATATCCTAGAGGAATCAATTTAAAAATAAAAAAGAGAGTAGTAAACAGTTATGAGGAATTCAGAAGACTAGGATTCGGGATAATACAAAGAATGGATGCACGTGCACCATTGCAAACGATTTTGGGCCATGTCATTCAAGGTCGCTAACCATCGATTACCATGATATCGCGGACCCCGACCAGATACTCTATACCTACTAACATGGCTCAGTCGAGTTGTCAGTCATATCATGGATTTGTGGCATTTTTTGATCTGGTTGCCTCTAAACTTCTTCTAAACTACTCGTAGACCACAAAACATCGCTCTTTGGAACAGTCAGTGGTTGGACATTCGTAACACATGTCCCAAGAATCTCACTACTTCATCAAATAATTTGCCATCCTTACCTAATTCCCTTTTCCTAACGACAGGATTGCTTACTCGACAGACAACGCTTTAAAGAAACAGATGATCGAATACTATTAACCTGAAAATATTCTTTTTCCTTAATGACTATGTTTCACATTGGTAAATAAAAACAGAGTGAACTGCTGCTCAGTAAACTAGTCTTTTAATCAATAGACAGATATCTCGTCTGCACCATAAGTTGGTAAAAGTCAATCGAGCCTTCTGTATCTATGCTCAGATTTCGTCCCACACCAGGTCATCAGCACTGATGTAACTTCTGAGATAATTGAAGCTGTCGACACACTCAACTACTTCACTCTTTATCACTGCTTTCAGGTACTGATGCAAACCAATCCTCTTGACTCATTCATAAGTCAGATAATACGGAACAAACTTTTTAGGTCTTTGCTGTTTATAGCTTATATTACTAGCATCTGCAAATTGCTTTTACACATTATTTTAAAGTAGAGTATTGATTTCCATTACTTGAGATAAACTAGTTACAAAACTGTATCAGTTTAGAGCTCAATAAATCGAAGACTAATGGTACTTCAAATCGAAGTTGAAACTTAGCATTGCTAAAAGTAGATGGAATTTGCAATCTAGACTTCATTATAAGTAGTGTGTTATTATCTAAGTTATTTATAGATTATCTGACTTAGATTTGCCCTCAATTTATCTTTCATATAACAGATTTACAGATCGATTTCCGAGTTTCAACGATTTCTGGATTGCATATACTTCGTAATCTCTACAGCGATAAACTGCGCATTTCGAAGTATACATTATTCATCCAATGATAATCTGTAGAATATTGCAGTTTTATTCTTTACAGTGTCAGCTCAAAGAATTCATTCACTCTTCATATTCTTGGAAATAATTATAATTTAAACTATCAACTCAGTTGCGATGAACTTTCACTCAATCCCTGGAATGTTTTGCTGCAATCTGTTACTCGAAAATGTAATTGTTACTATCATTTGTACATTGTGGTGTTTCGGAATTCGATCCACTAGTGAAATTATCAACAAAATTAAATACTAAATGACTGTTATTACTTTAGTTGAATTACTATTTTTATTAGTTAGCGTTCTTTTATTTTAGTGAGTTAGTTTTCCCTACAGGATAAAGGACGCTAACCTCCATGACCAACCTTCCTCTTTTTTATCTAGGCTTAGGATAGGCAGAAGCCCTAGAAGTGTTTCCAGGCGGAGATCGTTATGACTGAGTGTATTCATCAAAATTTCTTTCATGTAGATATTTTATACCTACATTTTCCCTGTTTAATGTAAGTAATTTTTAGTAATTACTTACTTACTTACTTACTTAGGCCTCTTATCCCCAATGGAGCAGAGGCCGCCCACCAGTTTTCTCCAACCTTCTCTGTCCTGGGCTTCCCTTTCCAGTTCTGTCTAATGTTTGTTCATTCTTCTCATGTCTATCTCTATTTCTCGGTGTAATGTGTTCCTTGGCCTTCCTCTTTTCCTTTTGCCTTGAGGGTTCCATGTGAGGGCTTGACTTGTGACTCAGTCAGGTGCTTTCGACAGTGTGTGTCCTATCCACTTCCACCGCTTCTTCCTGATTTCTTCCTCCATT